TTGACGACATTGGATCCAGACTCGACATTGGGATTCAGACATTTTGACGAGGGACTATTTGGGCCTGTGCCGAAGACTTGGTGTTGACGACATTCACATCTTCCCCTCTTCTTCGTCTAACCCCCCTCTTCTTTGTCTGTGTATGGTTGGGAACTGGCGCATTCTTCCTGTGTGGGCGCCAGGCCCCTTCACACCATGGAGTGATGATGATGCTGTATTGCAATATTGATTGTTCGGATCATTGGTATCTAAGTCTTCCGCTACGCTATCTTGTACTTTGTGAGAGAGGTCGGTTCTTGTTCTGGTCTGCAACGTTACAGTATGCAACACTGATGCTGAGCGAAGGCATGCCGAAGGATACCAAAGGCCGTGTTGAGGATGTCAAAACTGATGGCCTCGTGCGTGTGGTGAAAATGCATGGGCACGGAGACAGAGCAGCGGTCAATGAGCTGTTGAGTGTAACTGTCCGCAAGCTTGACTTCCGTGGGGCATGCCTGCCTTCTGACTTGCGGGCCAAGGCCAGCATGTTGAATGAATGCTTGGATTATAAAATTACGAGACGGCCTGGCATCAAGCAAGGCGCTGAGGATGCCTGTCCCATTTGGAGGTGGAAGTAGATGAGAGGAGCGTTATTGTGCTTGTATCGCTGCATACATATCTCATGTCCAATCTTCTCAAGATAGCCGAGAAGGTTGGCCAGCGCAACCGCATTGCCTTCCTTCTAACGTTCGGGCCAAGGCGAGAATGTTGAATGAATATTTGATTGATAAGAATTACGAGAGGCCCTGCAATCAAGCAGGGGGCTGGAGGATTTCTGCCGTATTCAAAGGAGGACGTATGTAAGCGTCGTGCTGTTGTGCTTGTATCGCTGCATATGTATCTCACATCCGATCTTTGCGACATAGTCGAGAAGGTCGGCCAAAGTGACTGCATTGTCCGAAAACGAGGTTTGTGGTGCATAGAAGTGCAAATAATCTTGCAAGTGTGCTTGTAGAAAAGGACAGTGCACTCACGTAAGGAACTTGTTTAAGGAGAGGCATAAAAGAAGTCCTTGGGTGTCAAGGCGTCCATGTCCTCCAAGTTGGGCCCTTGCATGGAGTCCCTTGAAGAAGGGGATGGCAACGCTGAATTGGGTTTGCGAACCATCCGATTCGATGTGACACATGCGAAAGACTTCACAATGGAGCGGTTGCCCTAACGGCTGAACCAATTGGGTAGAATAGTTATGAAAAGAAAGGGGAGGACTAGCAAATATGAAGAGTACCCCGGACATGAGGGCGGTTGTTTGAAAGGCAGGGGAGTCCAGTGGTGTGGGTGATGCAGTTGCAGTGATCCCCGCGGTCTGTGCGGTCAGTTTCCCGAGCAGGCCTTACGTTGCTGCTGGGTGCGCTTGGTGGGGCATGTTGCAGTCCTGTGTGACATGCAGTACTTCTTGTGAGCCTCATAGGAGGACTGCATGGCTCCGGATTTAGGGGAGGTGTGTATCTGGGCCTTACGTCTGGCAAGGACCATGTAAATCACCTTCCCAGACTTCTGCTACCACTTGACCCTCGGTCGAAGTAGCAGAGAGAGGTCCTCCTTCTGTATGGGCACATGCCGCTGCACAACTGTAATCTACTTTGAACGCTGTTGTCCTGGTTTGTATGCGAAGCAGAAACATTCTGCAACGACCTCCGCATCTTGCAAGGTGCCACATTCATCGATGAATTGCAGGAAAGTTTTGCTGCCGTCTTGAGCTGCTTCAAGTGATGCGCGAGCGCTTGGTGAAGTTCGCAGCATGGCCACTTGATGAAGAAATCCTTGAAGGTGTGAATGCAAGCCTCTGAAGCTCGGTGATCCAGTCTGCAGAAGGCAAATTGCTCTGGTGCTACTGGTGGCATGAAGTGGTCTTGGTGAATGCTATCAACTTCGACAGCTTGACCTGGAATTTTCGCTTCCATGTGGATGTTAGTTCAGCCCAAGACATCTTTGTGTGCAGCTGCACAATAGGTACTTTGTGTTGTGCAATGAATAAGCGTCGGCAGATCGCTGGTACAGACATCCAAATTGCTGAGCATCTGGGACTAGCGCCATGTCAAGAACCAGTGTGAACTTGGGTTCATCGCTGTTGTGGATTGGTGGTCTTGGCATCGGAAAAGACTTCAATGTTATCCAGCTTAAGGAGCGGACTGCGGCTGCACCTGCACTTTCAATGCTTCATAGCAACGCCCCCGCTCCCATAGGGCCCCAGCAATTTTGCGAGGTAGTAGCGCAAGGAACATAACTGTTTCCGTGAAGGTCTGGTGTGTCCTTCATCGCTGTTGTGGATTGGTGGTCTTGGCATCGGAAAAGACTTCAATGTTGTCCAGCTTGAGGAGCGGACTGCGGCAGCACCTGCACTTTCAATGCTTCATTGCAACTCCCCCGCTCCCATAGGGCCCCAGCAATTTTGCGAGGTAGTAGCGCAAGGAACATAACTGTTTCCGTTAAGGTCTGGTGTGTCCTTGTCTAATCTTGGCGATGTCCAGTCGTAGACTGCAACGTGCATGAGAACCTGTTCACAATCATGCCACATCCTGGGCTGCAAGAACAGATCAGATGTACAGTGTGGAGTGTACTTGTGCAGTTAAATGTGTGGCAAAAGTAACAACAGCTGAGCGTGGATTCACCCCGGGGCAAATGTGTGCAGGGTTCTTGGCTGTTGCTGGGAGGCCTAAGTTGGTTGTGGGCCCCACTGCTGGCTTTCTCAGGCTGCAGTTCGGGCCTGATATTTCTGAGGCAGCTAAGACCCAGGCAGCCCGGAGATTTCTGGGTTGCGTGTCCTCTGTCTACCTTAGTGCGTCAACAATCCGTCAGCATAGTAATGGATGTTCAGAACTGTTCCGTATAAAGTCTAATTCGGCCTCATCTCACGTGGACCATGTCTAGTTCCATGCTGTGGTGTGTGCAGAAGTACCTCTTCGCAAACATGCAGCATATTGGAGCACATGAATGGATGTGTGTGTGGTAAAAATGACAATAGCTGGACATGGACACACCCGGGAGCCAATGTGTTCAGGGCACTTGATTGTGCTTGGGAATCCTTTTACTTCTTAAGTAGGGTGTGGGCCCACCTGTCGGCCTTCTTGGTGTGGAGTCTCTGGGATTTGTAGACAGCCGGTACACCAGACAGGTGTATACCCACTTTACTGGTGCTTTGGCTCTTGCTCTAGTTATCTTGCGACCGTAACCGATGCTTATTGATTGACACCTCTATGAGATTTAGTTTGCTTACGGTGCCAAAGAGACCTCACAAGCGCTGATAGGAAAAGAGCACTGAGTTTGTGCATTTAGAGGCTCTGTCGTCATAGTATGTCTTCGCTATTTGGGTTATTTTTTTTCCTGGATGTTCCATGGCTTTCTAGATGTTTGAACTAGTGAGCTTACTTTTGTATAGAATGATGATCTTAAACAAACTCAAGGGATGTGTGGCAGGGCAACGCACATGGAGATGGCAACCAAATGAATCTGAGATTAATCAAAAGCCGAAGGGGGGTTAAGTAGAAGAAGACTGTCTGACGACATCAACTAAATACATTCTGGACAGACTTGTTCGTGCAAGTCAACCGGGACGAGTTTGTGAAAGTGCTTGGCAAAACTGTATCAGCAATGCTTTCTTCTGCGCAGCAAAATTGACAATGCACATGTAGCACACAACATTGACTGTCTGACGGCATCAACTAAATACATTCTGGACAGACTTGGTCGTTCAAGTCAACTGGGATGAGTTTGTGAAAGTGCTTGGTGAAACTGTATCAGCAATGCTGTCTTCTGCACAGCAAAAATGGCAATGTACATATAGCACACAACATTGAGTTGTCCTAACATGCAACATTGACTTGTCCTAACGGACTGCACGCAGAAAGTGGGAGAAGGCCGAGAAGATGTGCTGAGACAGAGAGACTGCTGGAGGAGGAGGGAGGTGAGATGGTCTTGTATTGAAGGCTAATGTTGAAATCTACTTCACTTTTATGGAATGATGCAGGTCAGGAAGATTATAACAGACTTCGACCCCTCAGCTACAGGGGAGCTGATGTGTTTCTTTTGGCCTTTTCTCTTATCAGCAAGGCAAGCTATGAGAACATCTCAAAGAAGGTATGCGCCTCTCTGTGCTTGTATTCTGATTCAATCTCTGTTGGTCAGATGGCAGCTCGTCATGCTTGTGTGATCTTGACAAGAGGTCAGCTGCTCATGATTAGAATGATTGAGATCTCTGTGGGAAAGCAATGGCGCTCAGTTCATCAACTGCCACGTCTGTGTCGAATTCACATCACACTTTGAACTGTTTTGTAGTTTGTTGGGTCTCTGTTGTTCTGAGAAGGTGATGTTGAGGCTGTGAAGGGTTTTATGTGTGGTTGCGATTTGTGGTTGTCTGTGACAGTGTGGTCGGGAACTTGCTGGTAGATATCTACCTGGTCTTTGGATTAGCTTCACTCTTCAAATGACACTTCTCTATATCAGTATGGCACCAAAGGCTTTTAGCGCTTTGTGCCTATCAGTAAATCATTCCCTGAGCTCTTCGTTCCTATCAGTATATCATTTCTGGAGCGCTTCCTTCCTATCAGTATATCATTCCCTGAGCGCCTTCATAAAGTCCTCAAACGTACGTATGCTGGCTGTATGCTATTTTATTGTTCTCATAGCCGGCTGTGTCTGCCAGTGAGCGCAGCCAAGTCAGTGCATCTCTCTCAATCACTATACTAAGACAATCTTATCCGCTGCCTCAATCCTCTACACATGCATACAAATAAGTTCTGACTGTGTCCTCCCAACCCATCACATCCTTCTCCTTCCACCCATGATAGGTAAAAGGGAGCGCATCATGTTTGTCCTGCTTTCATATCCTGCTGGCTGTCTCCTCCTCTACCAGAGGGCAAGTTCGCCTTTCATCAATTGGCATCACCATCCCCGTCTCCATTTCCCTTTCCTTCATGTCGCCATCCACCATGTCACTGTCACTCGTTCCTGAGCTTTCTAAAGACTTCAATGAGGGCGTCAGCAATCCCCTTTGTCCACCTGTCAAATCTGCTGCGCGTTCTTCCTTTCATTGCTCCTCCAGCAGCTTGCATATGGCATCTGTGCCCTCTTGTCCCCTTGTAAATCACGTGCTGTTTTTTTTGTCCTCGGACCATTGCGCAAAGCTTTTGCCTCTGCCATCTTCTTCTGCTGCTGCTCCAGCTTATCCTTTCTTTTCTTTCTTTTTTTTAAGCTGTCTTCTCCTCGTATATGGGGGACAGCTGTATTCACTACGCTATTTTCTTCTCTCAACATTTTTTCGACCTCACATCAACTGCCACCACCGGAGGGGAATTGCTTTCTTTTTTTTTAAAGCTATCTCCTCCTCGTATATGTGGGGCAGCTGTATTCACTACGCTATTTTCTTCTCCTAACATTTTTTCGACCTCACAGGGGAATTGCTAGAGGGAACCCACCTATATCTATCCACTCTGCTCTGTGCAGGAAGTAGTACCCAGGCTCCGTACCCCTAGCAAGGGATGGCCGGTTTCCAGACTCCTGCCAAGACCAGCCAGGGGAGAACTATCTCAGCCTGTGAACCCAAAGCGCACTGCAGGGGGCCGTGGAGAATTGAATTGGACGACTTGGGGAATCAAACCCACGACCTCCTGAATGCCACTTATGTGCTTTGCCAACTGAGCTACGCCGCTGACCTTCCAGCGTATCCGTTCTTTCCTGAGCCCGCCACAATTTTTCTTCCAGATCGTTGATCTGGGTGTTGGCCTGATTGCTCTCTGTTGCCATTCTCTCCTCTTCTCTCCCCAGTGGCACAGACCAATCAACAGCTTGCATGAGATGTGTTGGGCCAGCTCGACTTTCATTATGTCCGCCACCTGATCTCTCTCTTCTTCTCTTCTCAAGGCACTGGTCTCTGTTCCTGTTCCCCGCTGGCCCCTACGTGCACTGCCGTCTTTCCATCTCCTTTTTCAACTGGCTCCTCCTTTGCCTTTGCTGGTTTTCCGCTCTCCTCATTTTTCTTCTCGTCCTTTCGTGCTCTTTTCTTCCTCCTCCTACCACCCCTCCGCTTTTGGCCTTACCTCATTGTGTTCAGGCTCCCCTGGCTCATATGCTTCTCTACTGTTCTTCCAAATTGCCTCCTCTCTCCGCTTTATATCATTGTATTCAGGGTTCCCTGGCTCATATGCTTCTCCACTGTTCTTCCAAATCTTCACATGTGAATGGGTCATGTGAATTCAAGAGGAAAGAAGAAACGAAGGAAGGGCTGGAGAAGAATGAAAATGGTGATGCATGCTTATTTGGGGTAGTCGTCGGTGACTGTCGGCAGTACAAGGCTGTCAAACTCTACCCCTTCCAACAAGATCTAAGACGTGGTGACGTCAACTCATGATCTGATAGTCAAAACTCCTACAATTAGGTTATGAAGATACCTGTATCCAGCCAACAGCCAGTTTAAGGATATGTTGGAAAGTCGTCAAGAACGATTTAACATCTCAGACAGGATGGCGAGGCTGGGTGAGATCAACACTTCCCCCCCCCGAGACGTAGACAGTCAGCGCTCTGCGCTAGTGTGGTTTGCTGCATGCTGGTAAGTACCGGCAACTAGAGAAAGTCTTCCATCAGCCTAAGAACGTTTGTTCGTCCAGGACTTCACTTTCTGTCCAATGGACCAAGTTCCAGGCTCGTTCGTCAAGATTACCAACTTCGGCGGTAAGACCAAATAGCAGGACGGTTAACGAAGTTTGGTAGCCATGTATACCAGGACACAGTCGTGAGAAAAACACACCCGTCATTCAAACTACAAAGTACTGAGACTTACAGGGTCACTGCAGTGATGGTGCATTATCGTGTCCGGCAATAATTCTTCCCAAATATTGCATGGCAGCACTGACGTGTGATGTGTCCCTCGTACGTACCCATTCTGTTTTAAATGAACTTTAGCACCTCATACTTTCCACGTTCCTTTACCACCCTTGTCATCCTCCTTGCCTGCATCGGTCTTTGTTATCCTACTCAAGCGTCTGTTCGCCAGTATTGAGCATTACTGCCCATCTGTCTCCAAATCTTCCACCATCGTTCTTTGGGTGGTCTTTTTGAGGAAGGGGTTGTAGTCTACTTGTCATGAAATGGCTATTGTTTCTGACTAGTTCGTGTGCGTTTGTTTCTTTGTTTGCAGTGGATACCTGAGCTAAGGCACTACGCTCCCCAAGTACCTATCATTTTGGTGGGCACGAAGCTAGGTCAGTATTGATGCCTACATTTTCATTTGGCTGTGCGAAGGTATATATGTTGCATGCTAGCGACTAAGTTCATTGTACGTGACTTCGTGTGGCTACTACTGTTTGATATGAAGCAGCCCGCCAAGTAGGGGTACACGGTGGCTGAGATGGGTGATGGGTGTTTGGGGGTGTGAATACCCCCAACTTTCCTGGAACTATCTAGCATGTCTTGTTCTTTTACCAGAGGCTGGGATGACTCATGGGAGACTTTTGCAAAGATTGTTCTACAGTTGGTTGAACTTCACAATCAGCAATTCTAAACCTAAGTTTACCATCAACCACCGAAGTTTACAATCACGTAATGGCAAAAGCTTCATTTTCTTTTCAATTGTGTTTTCAGTTTTTAATGGAGAAGGCATCTGTTAGGGGAACCTGATGTACCATATGGTTACGAGGCGTCGTGTTTCCAGGTTTTCAGACCTAGAACCGTTCTGGTTCTTTGGGTGCGGAAGGCTGTCAGAGACAAGTTGCGTAGATGTTTTCTGGAACAGAAGCCTCTGTATCGTCCAGCCATATCGATGGCCTGTCAACAGTGTCAAGTTAACTAAATTAAATAGTAAATTTTATGGCTGCTACAGTTGTTCTGTTGCAAACCAAGTTAAGGGCTCTGTCGTACATTGGGATGTGCAACCGGTTGTTCATCATGGGCCCGTTTATAGACTCGTACAGATTGTTTATGTGCATAGTGCTGGAGCTTCCAAGGTATTTATGGCTGTTTGGGGTGTATTGGCAAGCTCCCACATTATGCAGTTCATGCAGGAAATGTTGTGGAAACGGAACAGAATATGATGTGCAATGGGGCCTATGTGGTATGCCTCAGGGTGCAGTCAGCCTGACAAGTGTGCTTTCCACATCGGGGATGAACGCCGCCTTTAAAATAGCGGTTTTGTAAAAGTAGTCCTCCTCCCTCCCCTCCCCCCCCGGGACCCTTTCTTTATAAAAGGTGGCAGCCTTGAGAAATTACCATGGAACTGACCGCCCTCGTGCAATTCAGAATTATTTAGTTCTATTCATCAAGCGATTCAAATTCAGGTCTGTGTATTTCAACAGTTCATGGGTGTACCAACTGAGCTAGGCCCGTTGGTACAGTAGTCCTTTGACCATTCGAAATTTGAGCAAATGAGCTTGTTTTTTCTTCATGCATCCGTTGGCTAACTCAGGGCCGCTGAAGGGATTGGCCTCGGCGTGTGCAAAAAAAATGTTTCCCAAGCTTTGTCAAATTTTCGCTCTCGAGTCTCATGTCCTCGAACAAAAAAAATCTGAAAGCATTCTTGGGGGTAGGTGAATGCATTTGTCTCGTTTCCTTGAACAAAAAAATCTGACAGCATTCTTGGGCGTAGGTTAATGCATTTGTCTGCAGCATCAGCATTGTATTTGTGCACAGAGCAAAGTCACATAGGGCCTCATTCAATCTTGCATTGTCTTCTGATCAGACTGTAGCTTTTCTTCCAACGTTTCGTTCCTGCTAGGTCATTCTCCTCCTCTACTTTCTCTAGCTGTTCGTTTGCTTGTTCCCCCCC